GTCGCTGAAGTTTCGTTTGAACGAATTTACGGAAAATTAACTAACGAACGGAGACGTAACAATACATTTGAAATTTATCACCAACTAGTCACAGACACATACTGTAAAGAATCCGGCCCATACATAACACCTGACAAGCGCACACTTATGATATTTCAACATCGGGTGAACGAAAACGTAACAGAACACCTGCATGAAAATATTGAGAAACTAAATGAATATATTTGATTCGACATGTTTTAATTTATTTATGGAAGGGTGAAATTCATAGCTCTTCAGCTATCATCTGAATGAAATTAAAGAATATTAAACTAAATGAATATATTTGATTTGACATATTTTAATTTATTTATGGAAGAGTGAAATTCATAACTCTTCAGCTATCATCTGAATGAAATTAAAGAATATTAAACTAAATGAATATATTTGATTTGACATGTTTTAATTCATTTATGGAAGGGTGAAATTCATAGCTCTTCATCTGAATGAAATTAAAGAATATTATATCATTCACGCGATATCTGCTATATCCAGTGCCGATTTGACCTTTCGTAGTTACCTCAACTCTTCAATCTGGCTGGGATAAAACAATCATACCAATTACTTGAAGTCCAGCTGTAACGGAATGAACTGGATTAGTAAGTTGGGAAGTGTAATTTTCATAAATTCTATTTATGTCACAACACACGAGAATTATTGGTTTTATTTCTGAATTGCCCTGAAGAACTGGTGTACCAGCAAGCTAGTCGTTTTGATCCCAAAGCGCGTTAAACTTTAACAGTGTTGCGTAAGCGAGGTCACGTGACTAGTGTCACGCCATCCTCTTTCTAGAAATATCCTGTTCCTTCAAGAATGCCCTAGCATTTACTAGATATGTGTTAGTCTTGTATATATAAGACGTTCACAACGTGACGGGACAACAAGGTAATGAGTATGCGGATAAAATATTGTTGGCCACGTGAGACGTGAGTTATAGTGTTGTTATAGAGCGACTGTTGAAATTAAGTGTTTCGTAAAGTTGTATTCGGAAAGAATAAACCAGTTTTATTTAAGAAAGGACTTGTGTCGCTAAAGTTCGTCGGAACGAATTTACGGAAAATTAACAAACGAACGGAGCCGTAACAATATCTTACTTGTGTGGGAACTATGGAAACACTAAAACTATCAGATCCAATACGTGTATAATTTATGGTCTGAATTATCCAAGGGGCTTAACTGTGTAAGATATCTTTTAAAATACGTGCTTTGCGGTAATATTGTACTTACAAGAATATTATATAACTACAACAACCTGGTAAGGTGTAAGGGTAGCTAATTTATATTACGTTATTCAATCATATATTGGAGTTCTGTAATTATAAATAACAAAATTTATTTTAAACTACACTTTTCAGTCATCTTTTCTTTCAGATAACTTCTTTATTTTCTGTGTTTTAATCAGTAAATCTTCATTACAATGGTCTCCGGATTTACAATGCTAATTTTATCTAAAATTAGGAGATCGATTCCCCCTCGGTGTACACAGCAGATAGCCCGATGTGGCATTGCTATAAAGGAAAAACACACACCCAATCATGTACGTTTTCTTGAATTCCGCTTTAGTGTTAAGACTGTAAGTTTTAGAGTAGACATCGATCAGTAAAATCGCTTTACATAAAGATACACCTGGCAGTTGCTAAGCGTTTTTAAAGTTTTATTTTGTTTTTTCATGGCAAAAGAAATATGTTACTTAGCCAAATTCTATTTTTCAATAGCGTCTAAGAGCTACAAGAAAGTTGGTGATGGTAGCACTTGTTGGAGTTCTGGGGAGCAGTCTTCCAGCAGGATATAACCTTGGTGTACTAAACACACCTGAGGCAGTAAGTTGTGTATAACTGTTTACTAAACACACCTGAGGCAGTAAGTTGTGTATAACTGTTTACTAAACACACCCGAGGCAGTAAGTTGTGTATAACAGTTCACTAAACACACCTGAGGCAGTAACTTGTGTATGAATGTTTACTAAACACACCTGAGGCAGTAAGTTGTGTATGACTTTTTACTAAACACACCTGAGGCAGTAAGTTGTGTATAACAGTTCACTAAACATGGCTGAAGCAGTAACTTGTGTATGACTGTTTACTAAACACACCTGAGGCAGTAACTTGTGTATGACTGTTCACTAAACACACCTGAGGCAGTAACTTGTGTATGAATGTTTACTAAACACACCTGAAGCAGTAAGTTGTGTACAACAGCTTACTAAACACACCTGAGGCAGTAAGTTGTGTATAACTGTTCACTAAACACACCTGAGGCAGTAAGTTGTGTATAACAGTTCACTAAACATGGCTGAGGCAGTAAGTTGAGTTTAACAGTTTACTAAATATGGCTGAGGCAGTAAGTTGTGTTTAACAGTTTACTAAACACACCTGAAGCAGTAAGTTGTGTATAACAGTTCACTAAACATGGCTGAGGCAGTAAGTTGAGTTTAACAGTTCACTAAACATGGCTGAAGCAGTAAGTTGTGTACAACAGTTTACTAAACACACCTGAAGCAGTAAGTTGTGTATAACAGTTCACTAAACATGGCTGAGGCAGTAAGTTGTGTATAACAGTTTACTAAACATGGCTGAGGCAGTAAGTTGTGTACAACAGATTACTGAAAATGGCTGAAGCAGTAAGTTGTGTACAACAGATTGTTGAACATGGCTGAGGCAGTAAGTTGTGTATAACAGTTTAGTAAACATGGCTGAGGCAGTAAGTTGTGTAACAGTTTACTTAACACACCTGAGTGTTTAACAGTTTACTTAACACACATGAAGCAGTAAGTTGTGTATACCAGTTCACTAAACACTGGCATACTATACCATTAAATCCATATCTCATGACAAATGTTAACTATGATTGTGACCTAATGGGGTGATGAACAAAAGGCTCTTATAGTCAATTATTACAACAAATAAAACACACTTATGCAGTTTTTCAGTAACTCTTTTTTATTTTTTACTTTGAGCAATTAAAATAAATGAAATAAATTAATGAAATGTTGTGTTTTTCTTAAGTATTTTGTAACAATTGCCTGTCAAAAATATTAACATTTTTTCGTAGATCCTGAGAGAGTTTGTTCACAGCTCAATATCGCAACGTGGGCTAGTTTTATCCGAGTCTCAACTGAACATTTTATGGTCATGTGTAGTGTCAGTCTTCCTGATTGGAGCTATGATAGGGTCATGTTGTGCTGGTTGGACAGCTAATAAAATTGGAAGGTGAGAAATTTTTGTTTCTTTTTCATTGCTAGATATAAACATACCAAATGTTGCCTGTCTTATTCTGAAGTCAATTTATTTTACTAATTATCAGATAATCTAAGGTGAAAGATTAAGTTGAAAGAAGTGAGAGTTCATGAAAATAACAGTCTAGGTTTATATTCTACAGGCGGCCCACTCTACTTCTTAATAGTGCGATAGGACTTCTATCAGCCGCACTGTTTGCCATGGCCCGAATTGCTTGTTCGGTCGAGATGATTATTCTGGGACGTCTACTTGCTGGAGTGTTTAGTGGTATGCACATTGACAAGTGCTGTTAGTTATGAGTAATCATAGTCACATTTGTATAGTTCGTTTCTTCTTACAAATGAAGCATTTTCTGCTTACAATTGGGAAAGCTTCGGTAAATCAGTTTATTTATTATCTAAAAAATTTCAAACATAAAATATTTCAATAAATGTTTAAATAAAAAAAGAAAGAAATTGTAATATCAATAAAGCCCACTGACAATGATTTGTCGTTTACCTTTGGAGTAAATAATAATAATAAAGCCGTAAATTCGTTAAGTATTACTGGTTGACAACTAATGCTTAAAAACATCGTGCGTTATTTTGAAGATGAAGCGTACTGGTTCAAACTTATTTTGTGACTCATTTTTTTTGGAATTTGTGATTATTTTTCCTGTTAAAACAAAATAAAAAATTTCCTATATAAAGCTTTCCTGTAGATTTGTTCTATAGTACACTAAAAGTATTTAAAGTATGATAGTTAGTGATACACTTACAATAAAGTGCAAAAATAAGTATATTTTCCCTAATCAAGAAACTGCTTCTACGAGGTACAATGTAGTCACTACTATTTAAACTCGAAAGCAGTTCTATCTAAATGTTGGTCCCGTAATGGCATAAAAATCATTATTCCTTTATGATTATTTTTTTATATTTAAAGTTTTCACTATGCAGACAATGATTTTTTTATTACAGAGAATATAAAAAGAGTGAATATAAAAGTCTGTTTGATGGTGTGACTTTTTTTTGGTGGTTATTTCGCAGTTAAAGTTGAACGAATACATTAACTTTTCAGAAATTTAATTCTCATTAAATATGATTTATCATCTCTAATCCAACATCATCTTTTTTTCTCTTTTTGCTATTTCTATTCTGCTTACTTAGTTCAGTTGAAGAAGTTGGTTGTGCTGCAAACACCATCGACCACAACAAAGAAGTGTCTGAGGAGGCGGCTGGGTGTTAACTATCGATTGGTTTCTAGTTTACAAAATCATGCCGAAGGTTGTGTTTAGCAGCTTTCAAAAGATGTCCAAGGACAAAAGAGATTTGCTGTCATCCATCAACCAACCACCCACTCCTCTCCTCGGTGCACCATTCAGAGTGACTGGTGCATGTACGTTTGTATGGACTATCTTTCACCTACCTCTGTATAAAGCATCCATTAATCTTCCTATAAATTTAGGCTGTGGACACCTGGAAAAGTAACAGTACTTAGTACATGAACTTCAAACATTTCCCCAGCTTGTCTATTAAAACATGCTATACCATGAACTTCAAACATTTCCCCGGCTTGTCTATTAAAACATGCTATACCATGAACTTCAAACATTTCCCCAGCTTGTCTATTAAAACATGCTATTCCATAAACTTCAAACATTTCCCCAGCTTGTCTATTAAAACATGCTATACCATGAACTTCAAACATTTCCCCAGCTTGTCTATTAAAACCTGCTATACCACGAACTTCAAACATTTCCCCAGTTTGTCTATTAAAACATGCTATTCCACAAACTTCAAACATTTCCCTGGTTTGTCTATTAAAACATGCTATTCCACGAACTTCAAACATTTCCCCAGCTTGTCTATTAAAACATGCTATTCCACGAACTTCAAACATTTCCCCAGCTTGTCTATTAAAACATGCTATTCCACGAACTTCAAACATTTCCCCAGCTTGTCTATTAAAACCTGCTATTCCACAAACTTCAAACATTTATACTGATTTAATTTAAATGCAACCCTGACATTTTGGTTTAATAACTTCCACAACAGATGAATCAAATTAACATAGGGAGAAGAACAACTGGTAAGATAATTGCCGCCTTTTTTATGGTTAACTTTTGACTAGCTAGGTCATGGGCACCAAACTAGCTTTGATGAAAGAAAATAAAAAAAACATTACAAAAGAGTCCTGAAACTTGGGTATATGTTGTTATCTAACATTGGCTATCAGCAACTTAATCAGTAAATACTTAGTAGACAGAAATGGAAACTGTAAACGGCCTTTTGGTTTAAAATCTAAACAATCCTCCTTTAAAGTACATTTTATTTTGGGAATTTGGACTACTCAGATCTTTTGACTGGCCATTGACCACCTGCAGTTGTTATAGATTATTTAACATAATTAACGTGACTTTCCTTGCCATCTGTGTTAGCAGATTACATAACGTAAAAAACGTCATTTCACATGATATTCTGTGTTACCACAATATATATATATCACAGATATATATATCACTTTCCATAATATTATATGTTAGCACATAATACAATATAAATATTATCCCTTGATATTCTATGTTAGCACATAATACAATATAAATATTATCCATTGATATTCTATGTTAGCACATAATACAATATAAATATATCCATTGATATTCTATGTTAGCACATAATACAATATAAATATTATCCATTGATATTCTATGTTAGCACATAATACAATATAAATATTATCCCTTGATATTCTATGTTAGCACATAATACAATATAAATATTATCCATTGATATTCTATGTTAGCACATAATACAATATAACTATTATCCCTTGATATTCTGGGTTAGAACCCATCTGAGTAAATGTACACACACACGTCATTAATGGAAATCACTTCCCAAGTATTCTTGTGTTAATCAACACTGGTAGACATTACATTTCATTCTTTAATAAATCATACAGTATCCAGAAGCTACTGTGGACTCTAATAAGGCTTAATGTCCATATAAACAGAACTATGAAATGAAACTTTTAATGTGACGTGATAACCACTTGAGTTTCTTCTCATTTTATTTTTTGATAAGTTTGCCTAACAGTTATTTGTATCATCTTTAGAGGATCCAGTTTACTCTTGGTAAATTTTGGTTTTGGCTTAGAATCCCTTGAGATTCACATCTCAAAAGGTATAAGCTTGTCATTCCTTATAACCTAAATGGTGACCCTAAGTCTCTCTTCATGTCTGGAGGTTCTTTCCTTCTTTGTGGTTCATTATATGTAAACAATTTAAATTTTTTTTTCTATTAGGATATGCCCTAAAATTATGTTTTGTTCTTGTTTGATTTTATGTTTTTAACTTTCTCTTTTTTTCCCTGGGCCCGGCATGGCCAGATGGTAAGAGCACTCGCCTCGCAATCTGAGGGTTGCGGGTTCGAATCTCCGTCACACCAAACATGCTCGCCCTTTCAGCCATGGGGGCATTATAATGTGATGGTCAATCCAACTATTCATTGATAAAAGAGTAGCCCAAGAGTTGGCGGTGGGCAGTGATGACCAGCTGCCTTCCCTCTAGTCATACACTGCTAAATTAGGGACAACTAGCGTAGATAGTCCTCATGTAGCTTTTCACGAAATACGTAACAAACAAACAAATTCTTCTTCCCTATTCTTTAAAGAAAATCAAACTTGGAAAAATATATCATAATGGAATTGGTTATAAGTTTTGACTCTTTATGCTTGGCATTTTTTCTGTGGACATCTGGAATGTAACTAAACTTGGATAAGTATAATTAATGTTATCAGACTCTAGTGAACTTTATGATGAAATAATGCTTACATTTTACTTCAGGAAAAATTCTTTGAATGTGAAGACCTGTTCACAAATTCTATAGCTTGTGAACTCATCAGGATATATCTGTTTCTCTTCTATGTTAATAATCATTTTGTATTCCCCTTTATTCCCTCCCCTTTTCTGGCCATTTTCTAGGTATTGGTTCCAGTGTGGGGCCTATGTACATGATGGAGTCTGGTCCTTCTAACCTGAGGGGAGCACTTGGGGTTTTGCAACAGCTTGGTCTCTGCGTGGGGATTCTAATTGCTCAAATACTAGGTCAAAAAGAAATTTTAGGTAAATTTACTGGACACATTATACATAAATTTGTAAATTTAGGCTAAATTTGGAGTAATTCTAAGTGCCACATTATCCCGAAGGAGTGAAAACTTAAATCTGGTTTCTTGTTTAGTGAGTCTGGTTTCATGTTGATTAAGTTTTTACATACATTTATGTATATGTTAAGTTCTTTTTAGAATGAATGTGTTAACAGTAATAGCTAATCATCACTTTTTGCCCATGTGAAAGCTCTGTTTTTTAAATTCACATACAAAATATTACTGAAAAGGTAGACAATATAAACGTTTACTTGTCACATAGAACCTAGCTGATAGTAGGTTTCTTTGAATGGAGTCACAGTAAAAGTACCAACTGTTCAATACTTTCGTTTGATAAAAAGAAACAAGGTAAACACTATTCTTAAAAACTTTTATGAAGAATGTCATTAGTAAAAAATAGATAATAAATAAGATTATATTTCACCTTCTCTTAACTTCCATTGCAGGAAACGCCACCAACTGGCCGATTCTCCTATCAGTTTATAGTTGCTTTATTGCCGTTGGTCTTTTAATCCTATTGTTTTGTCCAGAAAGTCCTGCATATCTCTACATCAAAATGGGAGAATATGATAAAGCTTTTAAAGGTAAAAACGGCACTTTTTTCCCTCTGGATCTGCCAAAGTTAAACTAAAATAAAATATTCAATGTGTGTGTGTAAGGCCATTTTAACAGGATAAAAGTGTGTCTGATTGCAACAGAACTGGATAGGCCATGTAAACTATCCCTGTACATCTAATTTTGACAAAGATCATTTGAGCTAACACTTCATGTTTAGTTGCCCTAACATTTTGTCCGACCTGTTTAGAGTTGGAGAAATTACGTGGATTCCCAGCTGCACTCCTCCACGGGGATGTAGTATTGTTACGAACAGAGCGTAAAATGAATGAATCCTGTTCTACTTGGACAATAACGAGGGTATTTAAGGATCCGTTAGTGAGAAAACCACTTTTTTCTGTGTGTATTATGCACATTGGACAACAACTCTGCGGTATCAATGCTGTAAGCTTCTTTTACACATTATTTTCTGAATGAATTATCAACATAACTTAATGTCATTATTGTCTCATACTTAACAGTCAGCTTAAAGATTGCTTCTATTTCATCATCAATACACTATTCCTTCAAATATTTATTTCTCAACTAAAACGTTACTTCTTATAATAACAGTTTACAGTGTTTCAGCTGATGCTTTGAGACTAATGTTCTGCTAGTTATGTCTTCCTTTAAAAGTAATACTTTTCAAACTGGTACCAAATTTTCAGGTTATCTACTACTCTACTAGCACCTTTCTGAAGATTGGAATGACGTACACTCAGAGTCAGTATGGCAGTATTGGAGCTGGTTTGGCCAATGTTGTCATGGCATTTGTTTCGGTAGGTTGAATAATTCTGTTATCCAATTATATTATCCTATTGTTTTAGTTTTGTAAGAATATTGTACAATACTTGTGCTCCGTGGTGCTATGAAACCTTTAAAAAGACTTATTGTGGAATCAAATATAATTTTTTATATTCCGAGTTATATAAATCGACATGAATAAGCCATATTGTCAAATGTCGGAATCAAATAAAAATTTTGTTGACTTTGTTATTCAACCATCAGCACATGGACAGTAAGTCTAACCAGTCAATGGTGCACTGTATCCTGCAATGTTCACAACCAATGTGATTACCATACTGCAGCAAGGAAATGCGATACATGTTAATATGGTTTTCACGCAGACTGGTGCCCCTCTGCATATTGGTAACCAGGTGAAACATGTTTTGTGGAAGCATTTTCGAAACAGAATCATTTCATGTCACTTTCTTTGTTCACCAGACCTTACACCAGCAATTTGTGGTTGAAAGGGGGTACCTGAAGTCATACATGTACCATGGAAGTCTCACACAATTTCTGACCTCGTGGATGCAACTATTGTTAAAGTGGCCAGCATTCCAAATGGTCATTGTTGCTGTAATGTCCATCGGTCAGACGGATGCATTCTGGGAGCTAGAGAAGAATGTTTTAACTGCTGCTGTGATTGATCAGATGGGTATTAGTGATATCTGTGGTGGCAACATGTGACAGCTGTGGTGGCAACATGTGGCAGCTGTGGTGGCAACATGTGACATCTGTGGTGGCAACATGTGACAGCTGTGGTGGCAACATGTGGCAGCTGTGGTGGCAACATGTGACATCTGTGGTGGCAACATGTGGCATCTGTGGTGGCAACATGTGACATCTGTGGTGGCAACATGTGACATCTGGAATGGCAACATGTGACAGCTGTGGTGGCAACATGTGACATCTGTGGTGGCAACATGTGGCAGCTGTGGTGGCAACATGTGACATCTGTGGTGGCAACATGTGACAGCTGTGGTGGCAACATGTGGCAGCTGTGGTGGCAACATGTGGCATCTGTGGTGGCAACATGTGACATCTGTGGTGGCAACATGTGACATCTGTGATGGCAACATGTGACAGCTGTGGTGGCAACATGTGAAATCTGTGATGGCAACATGTGACAGCTGTGGTGTATTCATTAAAGTGAATAACATTTCTTCTAGGCTATGTTTATTTCAAATAACATTTATCAAAACTCCAAAATTATGGAACAACTGTGCCCTCTAGAAAACAAACATCTAAATTAAAATAATAAATATATATAGCCTACAACATTGATATTCATCAGGCTATTATTATTAACTGTTTTGCATTAGGCTACTATTACCTAGAAGCCACTGTTCACCTGATGAAGAAAGGTCCAAATTTTGAAAGTACTTGGGTTACTTATTTTGAACCTGTGCATTTTCCTAACATCATGAATTATCTAGAAGTTGTAACCCTATACCTGATATTCATCAGGTTAATATTACCAAGAACTAAGAAGCTTTTGCCCTAAGCCTGTCTCTCAGTCATATAATAATAATAGTATTATTATTATTGCCTCCTTTTGTTTCTATCTTGTATTAAACAATTATAATATTGTTATTTTCAACAGATTATTGCCTCAATAAAGGTATAGAGTGAGAAAACAAACTTAATCAATAATTTTTGGTTAAGATTACATGATAATGTTATTTATACATAACAAAAATAATACTGAAATCACTATTTTAATACCTATGTTGAAATTTTGAATTTCTCAAGGTTGCCATATTTGATCATGTGTGTGTTTTGAATATTAACTAAAGTAAGATAATAATGGCTGGAGACGGCTTGAATGGGTAATGAAGAAAAACTTTAATATAACAGCAAATTTACAATGTTTCGACAAAGTTTTGTCATCATCAGGTAACTGTAAGATAGGGAAATGAATTACTGATTGGAAAATTTATGTACGATTACTTTAACAGCAGGAGGGGTATGAATGATTGAAAAATTTACTTAATAATGACTGGAATGATACGACTAGTAGCCTACATATCTCAAGAAGGATATGACTGGATAGGATTGTTTTCTAGATGAATCTTTCAAAGGATTAAACCTTACCTGGTTGCATTATAATTATCTTTACAAAATGAAATTAATACTTAAGTAGCACTAAGGATATATGACCCAACTTTTGAAACTTGGCACCAATATAGTGGAAGTATTGTTACGACAGCAGAGGTCA